CGAGGCTTTCTACTCATAAAGAGTCACACCGTTTTGGAAACCCACAAGGGCAGTTCTACCCTGTCCTAAAGGGTCGCCATCAGCTAGGAACCCTGGTGGCGCAGTGGTTATGCATTGGGCTGCTAACTCAAGGTCAGCAGTTTGAAGCCACCAGCTGCTCCGTGGCAGGAAGTCGAGGCTTTCTGCTCGCACAAAGAGTGACGGTCTCAGAAACTCACAGGGGCAGCTCTACTCTGTTCTATAGGGTCACGTTGAGTCAGCATTGGCTGTTTTTTGGAAGGAGATGGATGTTAAAGAAACAGGGTCAGAGAGAAACTCAGTGGGCTGCCCGGGCCCACGGCTGCCTGGAGACCGAGCCAAGCTTTAAATGCCAGTCTGCTTGCATCCTCTCCTTGTGCCCTGCACACAGAGGCGGGAGCTGCTGGTGCTGGAGACATGAAGCCAGCCAGGGCCCAGGAGTGGGGAACAGAGATGCAGGGGATGCAGGGTCCCTCACAGACCTTACCCTGGGCCCTGGGGAATCCTGCTCAAGCTGGGCCCCAGTCTGGGGGAGGCACCAGCTGACCCCTCGTGAGTCTGTGGGGTAGCTGAAACGGGGAGAATTTGGGGAGCATCTGACGCTGTCAGAGATGGTCTTGTGCCCTTTCCAGGCCTGGGGCCTGGCAGGGTGGGCAGTGTGTTGGGTGAACTCTGAGGTTAGAAATGCGACCCAGGAGAGCAGGGGAGACCCAGGCCTTTCTGGGGGGAGGGGAGGCACAAGAGGGCAGGCCGAGGCCCCCACGGCTCTGAGAGCCCAGTAAATCGAGGTCTCTGCAGCCACAAGCTGGGGAAGCGTCCAGAACTCTGGAGGCTGTCGCACCGGGGCTGGAGGGCCGGGGAAGGCCGCTGCAGGAGGGGGCGGGCGGAGGGCACGGCGGGCCTGCTCCCCCATCCGCTCGCTCTCATTTCCTGACTGGTGGCATCACTCACTCCAAATGCAGATCATAAAAATCACAATTGATGTTTCAATTAGTTATAATTTACAGAGCGATTACGTTTAATTTCTCTTTTATTGTATTTTAATGGCTTCAAATTTCTTGTTGATGAGATGCAGCCCCTTGCTCTGAAGCCAGGGGCCGCAGGGCAGGGAGGGGGCTCTGGCTCTCCAGGGCAGGTGGGCCCGGGGTAGCTGGAGGGGCCCCTTGCTGCCTCATTGGGTCTTCCCTAGCCGGCCCACCAGCCCCATCACCTCCGCGACCTCAGAAGCGCTGGTCAGCACAGTCTTAGAGCCTCTGGGCAGGGGCCAGTGAGGTCCCTTCCCCGACTGTTTTAGACGATTCCGCTAATGAACAAGGAGAATTTGCATCTTCTTAACTAAGGATGGGGGATGGGGCAGAGACAAGGGGAGGACTCTGGTGAGCCCCAGCCTCCACCCCGCTGTGGCTGAGCCAATGAGCCAGTGGCCATTCTCTGTCTGGAAGAGCCGGAAGACAGCTTGCGGGAGGGGACTCAGCCTCCAGGCTGCAGCCAGCAGCAGGGCTGAGGACAGTGAAGGGAATGGCTTGACTCTAAGCTGCCTTTGGGTGAGGCCAGCTCCTAGTGACCCCGCTGCACACAGGAAGGAACCGCTGCCCTCCTGGGCCCTCCTCAAGACCCATAGAGTGTCTGTTGAAGAATTTTCAGCAGTAGATCACCAGGCCTTTCTTCCTAGTCCGCTTAGCCGCAAGTTCCCCTAGAACACGCCCAGCATCGTAAACCCACAGCCAACCACTGTCATCGAGCCTGTTCTGACTCTTAGCAAAACCGCAGGGCAGGGCAGAACTGTCTCTGTGGTTTCTGAGACATTACATCTTTACAGGAGAAGGCGGCCTCCTCTTTCTCCTGTGGAGCAGCTGGAGGGTTTGAACCGCTGACTTTGAGTAGTTAGCAGCTGTGCCATGCGGGCTGCATCAGAGCAACACGCAAGTCTCCACCAGGTGGTAGTCTCAGCTCCCGCCGGTGGAGGCGGGCTGGCTCTGCCTTGGCTGGGATTTGAACCTGCGTCGCTCACCTGCAGGGCAAGCACTGTAGCCCTGAGCCTCCAACTGACTGCCTCATTTGTCCACGATAATGTTGCTCAAGGAATTTTGCTCGGACTGAAGCCAGCTGTTCCGCCCCCCCACCAAAAAAAAGAACATCAGTTACTCTTGAGTCCATCTGACCCACAACGGCCCCCCGCGGCAGGCACAGGGGGCCCTGTGGCTTTCCTCAGCCGGCATCTCTGGGGAGAGGAGCCCTGTGGTGCAGCCATTAAGCACTCCGCCACCGACAAAGACGAAGAGGTTCTGGTGGGAACCCACTAGCGGCTCCCAGGGAGAAAGCTGTGGAGGGGCGGCCCTTGGAAGGCCAGGGCCAGTCCTGCTGTGCCCACTAGGGTCTCTCTGAGCGGCAGCTGACCCCCATGGCAGTGGGCAGGGGCAATTCTTGTGGAAGCAGCTCGCTGGGCCGCTGGGATTGAACCGCCCACCTTGTCGTCAGTAGCCGGGTACTTGGCAGTTAGTGCCACCCACGGACTCAGCTGCGTGGCCTCTCACCCACCTCTGGGCAGTGGGCACCACCACTCAGACTGAAGGCTTGGCTTTCTTTGGGCCCGGGCTCGAGCTGGTCGCAGGTGTCCACTCGGGCCGATTCCTGTGGGAATTCCTGGTGGTTTGGAAAGGGTCCCCTGCAGAGCCCCTTGCCCCTCCTGCAGGCCTGATGTGGTGATAGGAGGGAGGGGTGACAGGAGTGTCCCCCCACCCTCCCCCACCCCTGCTGTGCTCTTCCAAACCTGTAACCTCAACCTTGCTCTGCTGGGAGGGGTGGGCAGCCCGCCTGGGCCCAGCACTGCTTTGTGTCACCCTCTGCATGGGGTGTGGGTTGGGGCTCATGGTTGCCGCCATCCTGTCCTGTGGGCACAGGGCATCCTGCCACTTGGTGACTGCCCAACGACGTCCTGCTGCGAGGAGGCTTCTTCCGCGTGCTCACGGGGAAGCTAGATCCCTGGCCTGGCCGAGTGCATGGGCTGTGAGCCGAAGCCGGGACATCGCAGTGGCACCAACTGGGGACAGCTTTGGAGCCACTGCTGCCCCGGACGCTGCCCCAGCCGGACTCTGAAGTTCTATCGGGAGGCTGACCAGAAGCCCTGGTGGTGTCGCGGGTAAGCGCTCAGCTGCGGGCCTGAGGACCGCGGCAGATGTGCGCGCCTGAGGGACGCCGCTGACCCCACTGAAGCCCCCAGCACCCCTCTCCCGTTTCTTGGGAGCGGCACCGCCCCCTCGGTTGCTGCAGGCTCCCGGTGGGAAAACATAGTGTGTCCCCCTTCCCAGTCACCTCCCAGGTCACAGGAATGGAGGGAGCTGGGCCCAGTCTGAGCTGGGCCATCAGCCCCGCTCATGCCCTGAGGTGGCTGAGGTGAGCCCTCTGGGATTGGGCTAGCTTGGAAGGGCCTCGGGCCGTCTCTGCTTCCGTGTGGTCCCCCTCACTGGTTGCCACACTGAGGAAGCAGGGTGAGAAAGACCAGCACCGGGCAGCTACCCCAAGACTAGAATCTGTGGGTGGGGGTGTGCTAGGGGTCAGGGGAGGGGGACCTGATGTGATTGTCCGGAGGCCTGGTCCACCCAAGTCTCCTCTATGGGCACCTCCTACCCTCCCATCCCTTACCCCCCCTGTGCGGCTCTAGGTAACTCCCAGCCTCTGTCTGCAGGATGGGGACTCTGTCCTCCCCAGGCCCTGCGAATCGTCTGGCGCACTCCCTCACGGCTGGGGAGGGTTGGCATGGCATTTTCGTCATGTGGAGAAGTGCCGACTGATGGGGCTGAGGAGACGGCAGCAGCGAGCAGCCAGGCGGCACCCCACGTAGTGGAAGGTGAGAGCCACCAGGACATTATTGGTGGAGGCATCCGTCATGCCAGGAAGCACCGTCAGGTCTACCGTGTGCTGGGGAAAGGAGGCCTGGTGGCACCATGGTTAAGCGCTTGGCCGAGAGATAAACGCCCACCTCTTCCAGCCCACCAGCCCTGGGGGAGCAGCGAGCCGGATCCGAGTCCCTACAACAGCCTGCAAGCCCTGGGGCGGCTCTGCTTGGCCACGTGGGCCGCTCTGAGCTGGTACCACTGTCGGCTGTGGTTTCCCGCCTCAGATCTGGGGTGTCAGCATGGAGGACATCAGTGAGGCTGTGGGGAGTTTGTGAGGGTCTGAGTGTATAAGCTCCTCCTTCCCCCCCTCCCTCCCACCCTCGGGAACCCTTGATTATGTTTTTTGTATTTTACACTGTCCGTTGTGTCCTTTCACCCACATTTCTGCTGTTTGTCCCCTTTGAGCAAGGGGCAGGGTGGGGGGTGGAGAGCTATATATCCAACCTTGTGATAGGTCCCATTCTCCTACCCTCCTGAGATCACTAATCCTACTGTTCCTGAGATGTTTACTTATGAATTCCATGTCAAGAACTGTATCTATACCAAGGTGTGTTCTCTGGTCTAGCCAGATTTGTAAGGTAGAACTGGGTCATGGTGGTGGGGGGAGGAAGCATTCAGGAACTCGAGGAATGAGGTACGATTGGTTGGTCCATACTGCAATCAGCTCCAAATGCTATCAGCTCCCCATTTCCGGTGATTTGTTCCCACTGCAGGAGGGAGCTCATTTCCCACGTGAAGTCTGACCCGCCCGTCACTTTGCATGCCGGGCCCTGATCCACTGCTGCTGGGGCTCATTTGACCCTGGGGACTTCATGAGATTATAAATGGTGACTACAGAGCCCTAACGGTGTCTGTAGTGGAACGGTGTCTGCTAATGGAAAGGGAATCTCTACAACTGAGGATACCTCCACCGGAACCTTGGTACCGAGCTACAGAGGTGGCAAACCGGAACAACAAACGGCAGGAGTCGGGCTTTGAGAGGCGGGAACATGAGCCAATGAAAGCAGAAGGCGGTGCAAGCTACAGCCAATAGTACGTCGGCGGAAGTACGTATCCGGAAGTGCCCGGCTGCCCGGGCAAGTGCGATGAAAAACCGAGCCTAATCAGGTCTCTGGTGCTTGTGAGTCGAGAGACAGGCCGAGATGTCGGAGCGAAAAGTTTTGAACAAATACTACCCACCAGACTTCGACCCCTCGAAGATCCCCAAGCTTAAGCTACCCAAGGACCGGCAGTATGTGGTGCGGCTGATGGCCCCCTTCAACATGAGGTGTAAGACGTGCGGAGAGTACATATACAAGGGCAAGAAGTTCAACGCGCGCAAAGAGACGGTGCAGAACGAGGTCTACCTGGGCCTACCCATCTTCCGCTTCTACACCAAATGCACGCGCTGCCTGGCAGAGATCACCTTCAAGACGGACCCCGAGAACACCGACTACACCATGGAGCATGGAGCCACGCGGAACTTCCAGGCCGAGAAGCTGCTGGAGGAGGAGGAGAAGAGGGTGCAGAAGGAGCGCGAGGATGAGGAGCTCAACAACCCCATGAAGGTGCTGGAGAACCGCACCAAGGACTCCAAGCTGGAGATGGAGGTGCTGGAGAGCCTGCAGGAGCTGAAGGACCTGAACCAGAGGCAGGCGCACGTGGACTTCGAGGCCATGCTGCGGCAGCACCGGCTGTCGGAGGAGGAGCGGCAGCGGCAGGAGCAGGAGGAGGACGAGAGGGAGCTGGCGGCCCTGCTGGAGAAAGCAAGGACGCGGCGCCTGTTGGAGGACTCAGACTCGGAGGACGAGGCTGCCCCCGCCCCGCCCCGGCCCACGGCCCGGCCCCGACCCACCACCATCCTGTACGAGCCCCCGAAGGCCAAGAGGAGGGTGGAGAGCTGGGAGCGGAGCGTGGGCAGCCTGGGCAGCAAGACTCAGCTGGCGGACCTGGTGGTGGTGAGGAAGACTGTGAACAGCAGCAGCCAACAGGGCCTGAGGGGGCCCATTCCCGGTGCTGCACAGAGCAGCCAGGAGGCCAACCCTGCACCCCCAGACACCTGGTGCCTCCTCGCTGAGCCTGCTGGCGGCCTACTCCGACGGGGGCAGCGACTGAGTGGCTGCAGCCAGGTGTCCAAAGCTGGCGGGCTGTAAACAGGACCGGACAGCGGTACGGGTTGCTGCCCTGTGGAGCAGGCGTCACAGCAGGAGTGGTCATGAATCGTACTAAGTAAAGGGACTCGATGCCAAAACAAACAAACAAACAAAAAAACCTGGTTGAATCATCCCTTTAACTTCCATGCGGCGATATCCAAGGGTCTAGAGAGCTACTCGTTTTGTCTTCAGTGATCGTGTTGGGAAGGTATCAGAGGGCCAGGCTATCAGAACAAGTGTTCTTGTGCTACGAGGTGTTACGAGGGGCCTTGAGTAGAGGCCCAAAGTCCATCTGCTATCTTAATACTTTATATGTACATTGATCTCTATCCCTCTCATTGTAATATATTTGCATAGACTGAGAAATTTATACCTGAAATTGAGGTGTGTGCTTCAAAGTGATAGAATTTTAAGTACTTTATAATTTTACCTTTACATTAATTTGAGTTGACTCTTAAATAATCTTCCCTTTTATTTTGCTGTCCACTCTAACTATTGTAGTAGACAGACATCTTACAATCCAATATATCCATTCACATACAATTCTGTTGTTCAATCCCATCTAGTGGACTTCCACGATCAAAATCAGGTCTGGGGGAGCTGTCAGGTGATGAGCGGCAGGCACCTCTGGAGCTCCCGAGAGTGTACAGCAGGTGCTGGGAAGTATTTGTTGAATCAATGAATTTAGATTATTTTATGGTTCACCTGTTTATGCTCTCATGGTGATTTATGGTTCTCATGGTGTGCACACACACACAGTGCACACACACACACCACATGCTACCACACTCACTCACCACTTACACACACAGACACACACACACACACACCACCACATACTACCCCCAAGACACAGCACACACACACACACACACACACACCCTCCCGTCCCCATCCTCTCCCTGTGTGGGGCCGTCCTGGCAGGGGCAGTAGGTGGGTGGGGTCCCCGCTGGCTCCTGGATTCCGGGCTTGACCTTAGCAGCTTATCCAAGGTGTGTTTTCCTTGGCCCCCTCCCCTTGTCACCCTTGTGATTCTGTCCCGTCCTTACAAGCTTCGGCCACGGACCATTCCCACACGGGTTCTCGACCCCTGGCATGTCTGGCTGGGGGTGCAGGGAACTTCATGGGTAGAAAGGAGGCCATTACAGAGGGGAAGTCGGGGGTCCCTATTTCCCTATCCTCCTGCTGGGGGGCTTCTGCATGGCAAGCCCCTCTCCTAGAGAAAGCGAGTCTGGGCTGCAGCTCCACACATGGCCACTGGATGTCAGTGTTTTGTAGTGAATGGGAAGGGGGCGTCCGGCAGGGACAAGTCCAGTCTGCAAGTCAAAGTAGTCCGGTCTCCTAGGGCTCTCCTCTTCCTAAACGCCCGCTTCCTCTGCGTGCGTGAGGTGGATGAAGGGTTACAGAGTGATTCTGGTCTCTGTTGTCCCGTTCACAGGTCCTTCACTCCCCCACCCCCCCAACTGATGATGCTGTCTTCAAGGTAACATAGCTTCTCCACTTCCCCCAGTGTCCCGGCCCTCTGGTCTTCCTTCCCGGGTCAGTGATGATCTCTGAGGGCTGACTGTTCGGAGGAGTGTCTGTCTCCCTTACAGACCTGTCAAGGGTTTGGCTGGAAGGTGAGCTAGGGGTGGTGTGTGTGTGTGTGTGTGGTGTGTGTGTCCTGGTCTCCCCTCCTGTGAGAGAGCATCAGCTCGTTTCTCCCAGAGGGTCTGTGGTTCCAACGATGGGCCTCTCAGGTCACAGCCGAGTGGGTCACCCTGGTGCCGCCATGCTCCTGCTGGGGGTGGGGGTCAGTATGCCTGGCTGTGCCTGCTCTATAGACTGGAGCCCTGGAGGCACAGATACGGTGTGGGGAGGATTCCCCTGGGTCCCAACTCCAAACCAAACTCACTGCCATCGAGTCCATGCCAACACAGAGGTAGGACAGGGTGGAACTGCCCCACAGCGATTTCCAAGACTGAAACGCTGTGGTCCTACAAAGCCTTGTCTTTTCCCCATATAGCAGCTGGTGGGTTTGAACGGCTGACCTTGTGGTTAGCAGCTCGAACACACAAGCCACTCTGCCATCCGGGCTCCCTCGGCCTGGGCAGGACCCATGGGACAGGAAAAAGAACCCAAGGGCTCTGTCTTTCAGCCTCGTTCCTCGGGAGGTGAGCAGGAAGGGGTGTTGGAGAGAGGGCGGTTCAGGTGAATCTGTTCTGACAGGGAAGGAGGGGAGGGGAAGGAAGGGGAGGGTCCGAAGCTGGAAAAGGCTCCCTGGTCCCTTCTCGTGTTCTCCCACGGCTGTGGGGTCTACAGAGGCAGCAGCAGGCTCCCCTCCCCACTCTAGAAGGAGCATCGCGCCCCCACCCCCACCCCGCACCTGGGCTGCAGGGGGGGGGGGGGCAGGGGCAGCGGCTGTGGTGCGCTGATCAGCAGACAGTGGTGGTTCCACTTTGAAGCCTACCCTTCCCATCCCCGCCCCTGCCATCTTCACCGCTGCACCCCTTTGGCACTGCCAGGGGGGCGGGAGGCCCTCAGGACGTGTGTCTGGGTTGGGGCTGTGGAAGCTGAGAGAGATGAGGGGACACAGGGAGATCAAGACAGGGAGATGAAGCCCCCCCCACCCCGTGCACTCCTCCTCACCTTCCATGGGGCGGGCCTCTTGCTGCGTCTGCCCTCGGACGCACGATGACTGCATGAACAGCCGCGGGATGCCCTGCCCGGTCCTTCCTGCCTGTTTGCCGTTTGCATATGGGGTTGTGTGTGTGATCTACGGGGTTTCCCGCAGCTGCTTTTTGGAAGGCGATCACCAGGCCTTTCTCCCTCTCTTAATCTGGAAGCGTCCTCCGCCTGAAGCTCTGCCAAAACCGTGGCCGGCATCACAGACCCACCCCACGAACGACTGGGTGGTGAGTGCGCGCGAGGGAGGCATGCTGCCTGGGAATGGAACCTGCAGCTCCGGCATGCAAGGCGAGCCATCTGCTGTGGAACCAACGCTGCACCAGGCTGGGATTGGCTCCTGAGCCTCCCAATGGGGTCCCAGCACTGAGGACCCGGACCGTGAAGCGCTCAAGGGTCACAGCCTCTGCAGACCTCCAGGGGGTGCTGGGTGGAGGTCGGGGCTGGGGTGCACAGCGGTGCATTCACCTGGGCTCAGCAGGGCTAGCTGCGGCCTACCATGTATCCCCCAGGAGTCCAAAGTCCTGTCATGAGAGACTGATTTATTTAGGTCCAGTGACGATCCCTCTCGGCGCTCTACATAGTTCCCTGCATGTAGTAGACCGCTCAGTAAATATTTGTCAACGGAGCACCTCCATTAAATTGAAAACACCCCGAGGAGGGAGGAAGCTTGCTCATGTGCTAACACTTCGCCTAGAATTGGTTTATCACACCGATTAGGGTCCTAACGAGGTTTTCCAGGGGAAGAGGCAGCGGCCGAGCTGTGCTTGGAGGAGACGAGGAGGTGAGGGGACATGGCCAAGTGCCCGGGGCAGACGTGGCTTGGCTGAGAGCGTGGCCGGAGCACCCAAGGTCAGCACAAGGACATCGGGTGCCTGCTCCCAGCCAATGGGATGGGGCCTCTGTTTGCAGCTCTGGAAGGCTGGCCTTTGTTCTTCAGCAACTCCTCACCCAGGCCCCCAGGTCCCCTTGATGATCGGGGTCTTCTTGCTGCTCCAGCATCAAGTCTTAGGACCCTCCATGCTTTGGCCAGACTCTTCTTTGCACCCACAAGGAGGTCTGTTGTCTTTTTCCTTTGCATGGGCTCTTTGCCCTCGCAGCCTGCCCCCCGGGTCCCCACACACTTTGCCTGGATTGTTCAAACTCAGCAGCGCTCCCTCCTGGAAGGCTTCCGTGACCAACCCGGTGCAGAGGCTCTCCTCCTCCTGTTTGCTCCTGCTCCGCCCCGCCTGCGCTCTCCCAGCAGTGTCCTCAAAGAACCCTCCCAGGTGAATGAAAAAGGCCTGCATGCACCTGCTGTAGGGAGCTCACTAGGCAATGGGACCCCAGGTGGCCTGGACCAGTCTGGGCCGAGTATGGGAAATAGAAACCATGCCGGTTACTTATTTTTTTAATCACATTTAGACAGCATTTATTTCTATTAAAAATCACCTTATTGTGTGTGCTGGGAGGGTGGACATAGGGATTTGGGTTCTCCCTCAAGAACTTCCTCTATACAAGTTGGCCTGTTGATGGCATGGATGACATCCCCACTGTGCGCCACCATCCTCTCCATCTCCATCCGGGTTGCTCTGTTTCCGTGAATCCAGACCCCATGCCCCCTTACACTCCCATCTTTGTTTTAAAGCCATTCTTGACCGTTTGATTTTGTATGGGTGATACATATATTTTTTAGAGGTGCACACTCTTTAGAGGTGATTGTGTTAGTCTGGATTGACTAGAGAAACAAATTCATAGATACTCATGTGTATAAGAAAGAGCTTTACATACAAGAGCAATTGAATATTGAGAAAACATCCCAGCCCAGGCCAGATCAAGTCCATAAGTCCGATATTAGCCCATATGCCCAATACCCCATCTATAAAGTCCTCTTCAGACTCACAAAACATGTGCAATGATGCTGAATGCAGGAAGATCACAGGCCAGTAGGTGGAGAGTTTTGTAGATCCAGTGGTGGTGGAAGCATCTCCGTGCTGGCAGTGGTCTCCATGTGGCTCCTCCAGTCAGGCCACTAGTGTAGCTCCATGTGTCTTGTCCACAGGACTGTCTCACAGGGAGTGAACCCAGAGAGAGAGTGTCTCCTTCCTCCATGGAGGAATACAGGAGTTCCCAGAATCCTCCGGAGAAGGCCATGCCTACACGGAGGCCTCATTGGCTGTGGCCTGATTGACAGGCTAGACTCCACCCCTTCACTCTTAATCCTCTCAGATTGACAAATGATTATATAACTTCCACAGCGATGCTTATTCTTTTTTTTGGAAGCAATTTGTTGTTTAGCTATAAAATGACTTCGGGGTG